TGGAGAGCCATATTCTGGGAACAAAAACTTGTCCTCCAGAATTTATCCCTACTCAACTAACTGGTGAAGCTGGCTTTACTCTTCAATGACTCCTGATATTGCAATGAGAGTAATGGGAGCTAAAAGCTCCAATGAACTATGGTCAGCTGTGAAAGAAAGTTACGGTGTGCAAAATAGATCAAGAATCACATTCTTGACTGGTGAACTTCAGAAATCAAGGAAATGAGCACTAAGCATTGATTAGTATTTGAACAAAGTTAAACTACTTGTTGATAGTCTTGAAATAGCTGGAAAAGATATTCTTTTGCTGATCTAATTACTCAAGTCTTGGCTGGGCTAGATGAAGACTACACACCAATTGTAGTTCAGATCAACAGCCGTGACCACATCACCTGGGGAGAACTGCAATCAACACTCATGACATTCGAAAGTCGACTTGAACACCTGAACTCAGTTAGAAATGAACTTGCAGGTATCAACCTGGAGCAGCCTTCAGCCAATTTCACTCAAAGGTAAGGTTCAAACCAATCTTACTTCAGGTCCTTTAGGCTAAATCCTGGAGGAAGATTCGCCAACTACAATAACTTTAGAGTCTTCAGCCAATTTCACTCAAAGGTCTGGTTCAAACCAATCTTACTTCAGGTCCTTTAGGCTAAATCCTAGAGGAAGGTTCGCCAACTACAATAACTTTAGAGGAAGAAGAAGAGGTAGAAACAGAGGTGGAGGCTCCTATGGGAATGACGGACCTGTTTGCCAAGTGTGTGGTAAGATTGGACACAAAGCAAATATATGCAATTTCAGATATGATGAGAGATGCTCCACCAAGTCACAGAACTAATTACAGCCACTCTCCAACAGTATTTATAGCCTCACCTAACACTGTAAGTGATCCAGCTTAGTTTGCAGACAGTGGGGCCAGTAGACACATTACAGCAATGAAGGAAAATGTCACCTAGCTACAAGAATAACTGGTAAGGAGAAAGTGATGATTGGTAATGGGAGTAAGTTATCTATTTCACATTTTGGCATTACCCATATCCCAACATTGAATGACAAAACACTTGTGTTAAATAAGGTGCTCCTTGTGCCTGAAATAAAGAAGAACCTTATAAGTGTTTCACAACTAACCTGTGATAATCAAGTGTATATGGAGTTTCATTCTAACCGCTGTTTTGTGAAGGACAAGCAAACAAGGAAGGTATTGCTGCAAGGGAAGCTTAAGGATGGGTTATATCAACTGGATTCTCCTCAATAAAACCCAAAATGTCATACTCTAACGTCTGCTTCTTCGAATAAATTCTACTGCAATCTCAATTCTCTCAGTTCCAGCACCAGTCAAGTGTCTAGTTTCAGTAAAGAGTCATGTCAAAAGTCTTTAAATTCCTCAATAGATGTTTGGCACAAGAGACTTGGACATCCATCTAGTCAAGTGGTGTCTCAAGTGCTCAAGAATTGTAATCAAAAGGCAAAAGAAAATGAAATCAAACCATTTTGCGATGCCTGCCAATTTGGAAAGTCTCATCTGCTACCCTTCTCATTATCTATCTCACATGCCAAAAATCCACTTGAACTCATAAATACTGATATCTGGGGACCAGCACCTATCCAAACTACCTCAGGCTTCAGATATTACATAACATTTTTAGATGACTTTAGTCGATTCACATGGATATACCCACTGAAGCAAAAATCTAAAGCACTGGGAACCTTTATTAACTTCAAAAAACTGGTGGAAAATAAATTTACAAACAAAATTAAGACCCTGCAGGCTGACTTGGGGGGGGGGGTGAGTACATAATTTTTACTAAGTTTCTAACACAAGAAGGGATCGATTTCAGACATCCATGCCCCTATACTTCTGCACAAAATGGGAGGGTAGAAAGAAAGTACAGGCACATCACAGAAATTGGCCTGACTCTCTTAGCTCAAGCTAAACTACCCTTAACATATTGGTGGGAAGCTTTCTCAACTACCACCTACCTCATAAATCGATTGCCTACACCTACTCTTGAAATGCAAACACCCTTCTCAGTCTTGAATGAAAAAGAAGTTGATTACAAGGCACTAAAAGTCTTTGGATGTGCCTGCTATCCTTGCCTTAGGCCCTACCAAAAACACAAGTTCAGCTTCCACTCAACCAAGTGTATTTTCCTCGGTTACAGCCAATCCCACAAAGGTTACAAATGTCTAAGCTCGACAGGAAAAATTTATATCTCAAGGCATGTTGTATTCAATGAGTTTGAGTTTCCCTTTGAATCCTTGTTCTCTACTCAAAATCAATCCAGTCCTGTTATACCTGAAACTGTAGTGTCATGCTTTCAATTTCCCTCTCAAATAACAACCTCAAATCCTACATCAAATCCTGATGATACAACCCATCCAGAAGCAACCAATGCTCTGCTTCGCTCACCTCTAAGCTCGACTCACAATCAGCAGGTAAGTTTGAACAATTCTGAGAGTGCCAGCTTAAGTAAAGGCTCCATTCGAATTGAAAATGATCAAATCATTGAAACTGAGGCTCAGTCATCTTCAAATATCGAAAGACCTGCATCAGAACACTTAAACAATCAGCAACCAATCAATAATGATCATCACATGATCACCAGGGGAAAGGCTGGAATTTTCAAGCCAAAGGTATACATGGGAAAATCAGTTGAATCTAAACCTGAACCTGCAGAACCTGGAAGTGTCAATGAAGCCATGATAAATGAAAATTGGAGGAAAGCTATGGAAGAGGAACTGAATGCACTGAAGAAAGCTGAAACCTGGAAGCTAGTGCCACCATTACCAGATTACAATGTAGTAGGAAATAGGTGGGTTTTCAGAGTAAAAAGAAATGCTGATGGCACAATCCAGAGATTCAAGGCAAGGTTAGTTGCAAAGGGATTTCATCAGTCACCTGGAATTGATTTCTCTGAAACCTTTAGTCCAGTGGTCAAAACATCAACCCTACGCATTATACTTACCTTAGCAGTTTCAAAAGGGTAGTCAATTAGGCAAATAGACATCAATAACGCCTTTTTAAATGGAGAATTAGAAGAAGTGGTATTCATGAATCAGCCTTAAGGATTCATAGACAAAACAAAACCTCATTATGTCTGCAAATTACAAAAGGCTCTTTATGGACTAAAGCAGGCGCCGAGAGCTGGGCATGAGAAGCTGAAATCAACATTACTAATCTGGAATTTCAGACAATCAATTGCAGACACATCACTCTTCTACTTTATGTCTGAAAGTCAGATTATTTTTGCTCTCATATATGTTGATGATATTGTGGTGACAGGTAATGATCTGAAGCTAATGCAAAGGTTTATAGATGAATTAAACAGAAAATTTGCATTGAAGGATATGGGACAGCTTCATCACTTTCTAGGAATTGAAGTAATGTGGCACAGTTCAGGACTTTATCTTACACAGAGCAGGTACATTGCTGAATTACTCAAGAAATTCAAACTGGAGAATCTCAAGCCTTGTCCTACTCCTATTCTAGCTGGCAAAACTATTTCAAAATCAAATGGAGAAGCATTAAACAATCCTTCAACCTACAGAAGTGTCGTAGGAGGCTTGCAATACCTTTCGCACACGCGGCCTGACATCACCTTTGCCGTTAACAAACTAAGCCAATTCTTGCAAACACCAACATCTATACACTAGCAAGCCTTAAAAAGGGTGTTGAGGTACCTAAAAGGTACAATGAATCAAGGACTTTAGATACAAAGAAGCAATAGATTAAACCTATATGGTTTTTCAGACGCAGATTGGGCCTCATGTCCGGATGACAGGAGATCTACAGGAGGCTACTGCATCTACCTTGGAGATAGCTTATATGGTTTTTCAGACGCAGATTGGGCCTCATGTCCGGATGACAGGAGATCTACAGGAGGCTACTGCATCTACCTTGGTGATAGCCTAATAGCTTGGTCATCTAAGAAACAACACATGGTTGCAAGGTCCAGTACAGAGTCGGAATACAGATCACTGGCTTCAGCAGCCTCAGAAATCGCATGGATCCAATCCCTCTTCAAAGAACTTGATCTGCCACAAGTTTCAACTCCTATCCTATGGTGCGACAACTTAAGTACAGGAGCTTTGGCAGCCAATCCAGTCTACCATACTAGAACGAAGCACATTGAGCTCGACATTCATTTTATAAGAGATAAAGTCCTTGCAAAGGAGTTGGAAGTTAAATATGTACCATCATCTGATCAAATTGTAGACCTTCTGACTAAGGGCCTTACTCACTCGAGATTCAACTTCTTGAAGGACAAGCTTGGTGTTACCTCAGTACCATCCAGTTTGAGGGAGGGTGTGAAAGAATTAACTTAATCTACACAAAGCTACACCTCAGCCTCCACATCAGACTAGCAGCTGGAAGCTACACATCTCCATTACTTGTTGTAAATAGATTCCCAGTACTACCCAAATTCATGGATCGGCCTCCAGTTGGATCATCTGGAATGTTCCTTGTATGCTATAAATCTGTTAGCTATCAGAGCAATAGTAAATTGATTGTAAAAGCTCATCTTTCAATATATTTATAATTCTAACTAAACCGAACATGAGTCTAAATTGAATCAATTGTAGATGGGCCAGTCGAACCCAATGAGGTAAGGAGAAAAGAGTCCTGTTTGATATGACTTTTGAAGGGACAAAAACTACTTATGAGACTAATATTTAGATAATTGGTAAAAAAAGGCTGCAAGTACAGAAAAAAAAATATAGATTTTTTACAGAATTTTGAATTTCACGTACATGGAGTAGCGGAGCACACATGAATTAAATATTACTAAAACAATTGAACCCGCCTATTGTTTTTATTCTGTCCATTTTCTGTGGGTAATTTCTTGTACCCATAGCATTTGCCCAATTGGTAATATAAAATTATGTTCTTGGCAGATTTCAAATCCTGTACACATAAAATAATACCAAACAATTTAAACATAGATGATGATAAGATCGCCATACGGTATTAAATTCAAACTCATCGTCAAAACTAAGAAATGCTTCGGAAATTCATATTCTTGCATTTCTCTACTGCTTTTTCTCCTAAAGTTCATACAATTTCTTCTCCTCTGATTAGAATTAACAAGTTCCAATCACAAATGGGGTCATCGTCTGGTTCTTCGCCAAAATTGCTTTTCCGCCAGCTATTTGAGAAGGAATCTTCTACTTACTCTTACCTTCTTGCCGATGCTTCTCACCCTGACAAACCAGCCTTGGTCGGTTTTTTTTTTTCATTTATATTTATTATACATGTAATTACGTAATTTATTTGTTAAATTATTTTCATGGGAATTGAATGTTTTAATTAGCTAAATGGGTAGGAGGGTTCTGCAAAATTGGGATTAATCAATGAATTTTACCGTGTTTGGCTTATGATTGGAAAAAGTTCTGTTCTTTTACAACATTCAAAGGATTTATAAATAGTGAAAACTTTTGTGAAATGCTAGTGGTTTGATGAAGTAATTATCTTTCTCATATAAGCTTGTTTCGACGGTCACACGTGGCATGAAGCAAATTACTAGGTTCTTGATTCACACTCAACGGAGTTTTCTTCCTTTTTGTTCCTTTTGATTTCTCATAGTTATCACATTAGAATCTAGTTTAAAATTTGCAGTTATCAAAGTTTGGGCAGGTTAATAAAAAGCAAATAAGAAAGCGTCCACAGAAGAAGAAGAGTTATCTGCAGAGAAATCTGCCTAATATTTACTTATACCTTCTGGCCTGACAGTACGCTGACGCACTTTCTTCTGCATACAGTTGGTTGATCCGGTTGATAAGACAGTGGATAGGGATCTTTCTCTTGTGAAAGAATTGGGTTTGAAACTTCTATATGCAATAAATACTCATGTACATGCTGATCATGTGACTGGCACTGGTTTGATTAAGGTATGTCTCAACGTCCAATGTTCTCTAAACAAAGTGAATCGGCAAATTCAGTTTACTTTTTTTTTCACTTTACTTTTGGAGGGGTGGAGGGTTTTGAGTATTGGCGCCCATAATTGTAATGCTGAACTTATTTTATGTTATTGTCTGTGTCTTGCAGAGTAAGGCACCCGGAGTGAAATCTATTATTTCCAAAGCAAGTAATGCAAAAGCTGATCTTTTCGTTGAGCCTGGTGATAAGATATGTTTAGGTGATCTCTTCCTGGAGGTACGCAAACTTCTGAATGTATATGTGAACATTCACAGAGATTCTTTTTATAATCCAAATAAATCAACCAGTGAATATGTATTTCTGGAACTAATACTACATCTGGGTTGTAAGGATTTGAGCTTTATGCTAACAATAATATTACTATGAGGATCAGAGTGTAAAAGATCAAATGTACCTCAACGCTAACTAAATTCCGTAGATGATTCTCAACTGTTTTGGTTAAATATGTATAATATTCTTGTCAACGTTCTACAAGTGTCTCCACTCGTTGCCAACATGCAATTGTTGGCTCATTCCACATCGCTCAGCCTCACCTCAATATAGTGGAGGGACATCGATGCCTTGCCAAATAGTCAAGAAATTACCCTCTAACCTTCCTGCATATTGCCTTGATGGCCATTATGTTAGTTTATTAAGCTGAATACATAATATCTTGTTCCAGTTCCTTGAAAAAAGCTCCTCCCTGTTTATATGTCATGTGGCGAAATTACCAATTCAACAAGATATGCCGATACGCAGAGAATAATGAAGTAGATCACTGACTTTGTAGTCAAGTGAGAACACTAGACAATAAAGGACTCTTGAATATGGTCTATGGAGCCCCAAGAAAGATAAAACTCTTGTTGCTGACTACCACATATCATCAATAAGAGCATAGGACACCAACCAATATTAATTTTCGCTTGCAATTGGCAGGATAGTGCTGGCCCTTTCTTTTATATATGGGATTTCTGAAGATTGTGTTGAGAAAGAGAAGTGTGCCAACGTGCACTGGCTAATAAAAACCCTGCAACTTCAAAGGAGTAAGTTTGGATAGCCCCTTTCTTTTTATTAGTAAGATATATGTGGGACCCTATGAGGCGCTGCCTTGCTGCTGGCTCCTATCTCTATTGGGGCTGACCGCTTATGCACTCCTCTTGTTACCACTGAACAACGATCAACCTTCGGGAGTTACTGAAAGTTTCTTGTGCTATATACGGACACATGGCATTTAATCATATGAAGGCAACTAGATGCTCCATAGATGAGGTTCATCCCTAGATTGTCTAGGTGACCTTGAAAACTATGGTTTTAGTGTAAACTTTATGTCAATAGACCTATTTTATTGCTGCTTCCATGTCAGGACCTTCTATGATTGTCTTGTGTTGTTTGCTGAAGCCCTTGAAAAAATTTAACTGAAAATTGCAAGAATGGTGCTGACTCAGGGTAAACGATCTAGCTATTTAAAATGATAAATAGATCAATCTATTTCTGTACAGTGTTATTTTTATGGCTCTGCATAGACGTCATTCATTTCCCGATTGTGTGGTTTCCTCACTGGCCTGATGATAATCTGTATCTTCAACTATTGCCTACTTGACTGATTTTAACCATTACAGGTTCGTGCTACACCCGGTCACACCCTAGGTTGTGTCACCTATGTCACTGGAGATGGACATAATCAGCCTCAACCAAGAATGGCTTTCACAGGTGATGCTTTGTTGATACGTGGATGTGGCAGAACAGATTTCCAGGTATAATTCCTTGATGAGAAGTGTTATGTTACAAATGTCCTTTTCATGTTACTTTTTAACCTTGAACTCAAATAATTTGGCAGTTCTGAAATTTAAATCTGAATTTTACTACAGGGTGGAAGTTCTGAGCAGCTATACAAGTCAGTTCATTCACAGGCAAGGACACTAAGAATATCTATTCTATAAATTGAATGCAATTAAGAGAAACTCTCGAGTTTCAAAATTATCCAATTGTATCTGCCCCTTAGATAACCCTCTCAAATTATTTTCCTAAAACAGATCTTTACATTGCCTAAAGACACATTGGTGTACCCTGCTCATGACTACAAGGGGTTCTCTGTAAGTACTCTAAATTTTACAGTTTCTGTCAGTCCATAGTTTACACGATGAAACTTAATTCTAGTTGCTTATACACCATTTCTTTTCAGGTCAGTACTGTGGGAGAGGAGATGTTGTATAATCCCCGTCTGACTAAAGATGAGGTGATACTAAAGGAAATTTGTTCTGATACATAATAATATTGATTCCATTTTTCTACCATAAAGAAACTTCATAGTCCTAATTCTGATGAAATATTGCCTTCTGCAGGAAACATTTAAGAATATCATGGCAAGTAAGTAGTAATGACCATCAAATTGCTAACAACTGAAGTTTCTTGTTACGGCATTTCCACCGTACTATGTTCTTATCCTGTTGCTGTTTATTTTTACAGATTTGAACTTGTCGTACCCAAAGATGATCAATGTGGCTGTCCCTGCTAACATGGTTTGTGGCTTGCAAGATGTTGAATCCAAAGCTGGTTAATGTTTTTGTTAGGTCTGGACATCATTTTATGGTAAATATTCACAAAGAGCAGAAAGTTTCAAAAAGTATACTGATGAATCTTGCATCTGGTAATGTAAATGTTCAATAAAATGGCCCTTGACAAAAGGTTTAATTCCACAATATTGTATTTGAACGGAGTGCAAAGGTTACTGCCAAGAAGATAAAATTAATGCAAGGACTCAAAAGAACCTTGGATTTTATGTACTTCTCTCATCAGTGATGCCATCTTTTCATCCATCTATATGGCAGATGAACTAATTTGATTAGTTTATAACAATATTTCTTTCAAGAAATGAGAAAAAGGAGAGAGTTATAGTTTAAATATATTTTAACAATTTGAAAGTTAATAGAGAATTGTAAAATAATAATACACTAATTTGTTTGTGTTAAAGGGGGAATTTGTTACTTATAACAAACTTCATCGGATGTTTATGTGATTTTTGAAAACACAACGTATCCTTGCTTTTGTGTCATCTTATTTTTGTAACAATTGTTTTTTTTTTAATATGTTTGGACATTTTCGTTCTCGAAATCTTCTTAATAGACACTAAATATGCATCGATTATGGATGTCAATCGTCGAAATATTAGGTACACCGATAAAACCAGTTATATTTACATATTCAGTCAAATGAGTCAACTTATTTCTTAGCATTTCTTCGTTTTTAAATATGTTTGGACATTATCCATTCTTGAAATCATCATAGTAGACCCAGAAAATTCATCAATGATGGATGTTAGTTAAATTTCAGACTACCACCAAGACTGTCAACATTTACATATTCACTCGAATGAGTCGTACAACTGAGTATGTCATGTGGCTGAAATTGCCGGGCTCTTCGAGCTGCCAAAACTTAATTGCTACTTAGCCATGGACTGCAAACTCTCTTTTTCTTGTAAAAGTTACTTATTTTTTACAAGAAGTCAAAAAATACTTCCAAAATAAAGTAATTCTAACTTCAATAAACCAAAAAAATAATTTAATCTAAAGCCTACTTTTTACTTAAGGATATTCTTTTAAGCTAAACATAAAAACCTGCACTTTGTTAGAACACCACACATTCCCTTGAGGAGAGGATAACAAAACCAATTCTTTTCTGGTACTTCACAGAAAGGAAGTATGCCACTCGAGCTTTTCCATGCTCATAAGCACCACCACGACCCCACCGCTTACCAATACCAACACTGTGTACTCCTAAGTGTAATTCTTTATTAAATTTTTTGTCTGTGAAGCAAAACAATGCATCAACAAAGTTAAGAATGCCGGCGACATATCGCAGGGAGAGATCATTTCTGCCAGTTCCCACCACTCGGCACCACCGTGCAATTTCAGCCTCTATTTCTCCTCTTGACTTGACGGAGGCTAACATCAAGCAGGTTTTAGACGATGCCCGAGTTGAGGTAAGTCTTTTTTCCTGCAGCATTTGTGTGTATACTCACTTGGAAATGCTTTACAATAGTCATAGAAGTATACTTTGCAATGCAGTTAGCACAGCTCTTTGATACTTCAGTGGGCATAACAGGTGATTTCTTAAGGTACAATAGATCATTCAACTTTGCAGTTTAAATTGAAACTTAATAAATAACATGAGAAATTAATGGGATAAAGGAAAAGTAGAACTTGCTGATCTTGATGGACCCTATATGAAGATCAGAATTGGAGGCAAAATTTGGCATAAACGTTCTACTGTGTTATCCAGGCTTGGCAATTACTTGAAGCAGAGGATCTCTGTAAGTCAGTTTATCCTTTTCGATTCGCCTAATGTCAACTACAAACCTATAGTCAAGTAACACAGATAGGTCCCTGTTTGGCCCCAATATTTTAAAACTCATTTTTCCTCGCACTTGGTTTCAACTACACAATTTGTAGAACCCACAAATTTTATCAATCATATATTTCGTCAACTTTTATCAAAATCTTCTAAAAATCTGATTTTTAGCCAAACCAAACAAGGGCTAGATGTTCGAACAAAACAACTTATTACGTAATAACACATCTTCAAGTTGGATAATTAACATCCATGGTTATGCCACATAAGCATATAACAAGCCAAATCTTCCTCTCCATTAGTTTCGACTCACGAAATCAATTTCAGACATTTTCAGGCATGCTTATAAGTCTAAGGACGAACGAGGTTTTTAACCCTTTTTCTGCATATATTTGCAAAATTCTTTACCGATGCAATTTGCTAGAGATTGTTTGTATAACCTGGATACATTGATCATTTCAGGCAATCTTGGAGGTAGATATAGAAGATGAAAAGCAGTTGGATGATAGCCCTGAAAACTTTTGATGACTAAAAGATCATTGTGATTGATTTTTTCTTATTCTTCTTTTCTAATGAACGTGCTATTATTATTACGTTACTTATGTATCTTCGAGTCTTCCAAGCTAGCTAACGATGAGTTCAAATATGTTATCTCGGCTTCGTTGAGGTGCCCAAATTTTAGTGGACATAGTTCATCGTGTTAAAAAATAAATTTTTTTATTTTTTATTTCACCAAAAAAGATATCAAAATTATATAGTCAATATCGAAGGTGAGCAGGGGCGGA